TGCCATTGCACGTAATTAAAGTTAAAGTAAAGTAAAAGTCCACAACTGTACTATGTTTTGTATGTTTTTTTTAATATACGATCAATTATTATTAGTCAATACCCTTAATAGATTTGTTAATGGATATATAGCACTGACAACTGTATAGATAATTATTTAGCTAATGACAAACAAGTACATCAAAGGAGCTTTTAATACAACAAGCAATTGCAATTTTAGTGAAGCTTGCATGTATGGGATCTTGTATGAGATTACTCAGGATCTTGTGCCAACATCAGAAAAGGGCAACAGTAATCAAAGGATCTCTGTAGTACAGTTGGGTTCTTTCTCGACTCAGTCGGGAGTCCTGGGTTCGAATCTCGTGCAGGGTAGAAATGACTCGGCATGTTTCCTTTCATCTAATGCTTCTGTATACCTAACAGTAAACAGGTACTTGGGAGTTAGTTAACTGTTGTGAGTTGCATCCTGTGAAATGGTAGAATACTAGAATGGACAAAGCAAAGGTTAAATGGTCGTTCAAAATGGAAATGAATCTGACTGGAGAAATTTGATGAGTGGAGTACCGCAAGCTTCCATCTTGGGGCCAATCCATTTTTGTCATAAACATCAATGACATATATGGGAATATTGCAATCCACACCATCAAATTTGCACAAGACACTAAGATCTCCAGAAATCTGATAAATCTGATAAAGATCTCTGATAAAGTAAGAAGCGAAAATTATATCCAGACTTTACAAAGAGATGAACATGAACTTCTCAAATAGTCGGAAGACTGGCAAATGATTTTTGATATGGAAAATGCAGCACCTTACATGTGCTGCATTTTCCGTCTGGCCAGAAAATTTTCGGGGGGTTATGGGCCGCCTCCGTCTGGTCGCCCCCCAGGCCAGACGGGGGCGGCCCCAGTGCTACAAATCGGCATCTATAGCGCCCCTTAACCCCCCCCCTGCAATTTTCATAAAGTCAAATCTGAAATAGAGATTGTGTTTACCGTAGATATATTTAGCAGTGTCAGTGGTTCGAAATATTACATTTTCCGAGAAAGAAAGTGGGGGAGGGGGAGGCGAAAAATGTTTGAATAGAGGGAAGGGGGAGAAAGGTGGAGAACGGAGATTAGAAAAGAGGGTGGAGAGTTAAGGAGAGGGGGATTTGAAAGTTGAGAGAGAGGAAAAACCTAGGTGCACCCAGGTACCCTATCTTTGCATAATATAAAATCATAATAACAACATGTAATCATATAATGATTAGTATATGATTATGGACTAATCACATGGACTTTGTTGAAACTTTTGGCAAGGTACCACATGAAAGACTAGGAAGGAAACTACAGGCACTTGCAATAAATGGGAGAATACTGGAATGGATAAAACAATGGTTAAAACAATGAAAACCCGAGTCGTGCTAAATTAGAATAAATCTGACTGGAGAAATGGGGTAAGTGGGGTACTTTTGTCATTATACATCAATGACAGAAAATATTACTCACCACACAATCAAATTTGCAGATGACACTAAGACTTATGGTAAAGTGGGAAGTGAAAATGAGATTGAGACTTTACAAAGAGATCTACATGAACTCCACAAATGGTCATAAGAACGGCAAATTCGTTTTAATATCGATAAATGCAAGACCTTGCATGTGGGGCATAACAATCCACGTCACAACTAGCAAATTAACAGAATTCATTATTCATCATCAACCTTGCAGCAGATTGTCGGATAAAAGGACCTTACCTTGAGGTGCTTCCGGGGCTTAGCGTCCCCGCGGCCCGGTCGTCGACCAGGACCTAAATTCAGGTAGCTCTGTGTATTTCTTCGTAAGTGGGTTTGCTACGAAGGTTCCTAAGTGCGCCCTAAGAAGATGCTTAGGTGCGATTCAATAAGGTATACTTAGGAAGAAAATTGTTGGTTCACCTGCGTGCCGATAGAGGTCACTACTGTGTTTCGTTTGGCCAATCAGAGAGCAGCAACATTCTTCATATTGAAGATTTAGCGCTGGCTTATCGGAGCTCTACTGCCTCCTATTTACGTCGAATTTTCTTATAAAATTAGTATATTTCGAAGTAAAACAATGTTTTTACAACTTCTACAGCCAGCACCGACATTGTAGTAAACAAATATGTTACATTTGTTGTTTACCTACGTAATTCTAAGAGATACTGTGTAGCTGTCCTTGTTGCTCGGAAGATGCGCTGACAATTATTGTATATATTTACTGAATTTACCCAAGGGCTACTAACTATCTAGTGACCTCGAAGAGGACAGAAAGCCGGCGGCTTGTTAAAGGGCCCGCCAATTGTCTTAATGATATTTTTTAGCTGGAATTTGGCATTTACGGCTTCAGCGGGTAGGCGGTTCCATGGGTTTATAGCCCTCTTGGTGGAAAAAAAACATCTGTTTTCAGTCCTACTTGAGAGAACATACTCTCCAACACTATATCTGTGATTGTCCTGTTATCAGTGACTTCATACCAAATGGTATGAGGTATTTTGAGCTCTGTAATTACTTCATACACTCAGGAATATTGGAAGATATTCTTGTGCTGCACCCAGATTTTGCCAGTGGAGGCTAATAGATCAGCATTAAGTATTTTGTTCTCTCCTAATTCCATGTATGACTGGCCATCCTGTGAGGTGAGGATGTTGGGTGAGCTTGTAGCTGGTTTTTTATCTACACTGTGTGGTCCTTTATACAGAATAGGGAAGCAGCACATTGCTGTGTATACCTAAACATGTTTAAAAATACATTGTTTGAGAGGAGTTTTGTAGAAACTGGTAAGAGTAATTATAATATAATGTTTCCATGATTCAGTGCTTACCTCTTGTGAAAATTGCTTAGAGTTGTTTAGTCAGAGTTGATTTGTTTTTTGTATTGAGGCTGGTATTTTCTAAATTGATTCCATGTACAGTATGTCTAACCATCCTGTGAGATGGGAGTATTAGATAAACTTATAGCTAGTTTTTTATCTACACTGTGTAATATTCCATATAGAATAGGGTAGCAGCACATTGCTGTGTATACCTAATCTTCTTAATAAAAAAAATCAGTAATAAAGATTTTAAATTATAGTTTGTATTATTACAAATACAGTACTGTATTATCCTTATTAAATCATGTTGACCATGGATCATTAAGATGTCATGTTGATATGTAATACAAGTCATATTTCTTTTGAACTGCTAATCCATGCTAATCATTCATTAAATTGTGCATTATGTCTCAATTTTTCACTTCCTTGGATATACTGTACAGTACAAAAAGATAGGATAAAAATAAACCAGTAATATTTCTTTCATTATATTTTTCATTTAAATAACTGCATCAACATTTTTACAGCTGACAGGATTTGTTTTCCCATACAGGTGCATTATTTGTTAACAAAAATTTGGTTTATTGTTACACACAATGGTGCTACATAGCCTTCCCAGCTTGGTGCCTTCTTTTAATACTTACTGATTAAAAAATAAATAATAAATACATTTTATTCAGGAAAAGTACATACAGTTGATTTACAAACATAATGTTGGATTTATAGGCAGAGCTAGTACATACAATACCTAAAGCCACTAATACTCATAGCATTTCGGACAAGGTGTGGGGGGAAAAAAACACAGACTAAAACTTAATAGTAATTGGGATTAGGTATAAATTGTGTTGAAAGAAGGAATAAAAAATACAAAAAGGGGGTTAACATAGTATAAATCAGCAATTGCACATGTTGGTGAACAGCGTTGTTTAAAAAATAGCAAGACATGGGTTGACATTTAGAAGGTAAGTTAGGTTACATGGAGTTAATTAGGCAGTACTTGGTTTAACTCTTAAACTGGTTGAGAGAGGTACAGCCTTTGACATGATTCGGGAGGTCATTCCACATTCTGGGTCCCTTGATTTGTAGAGCACTTCTAGTTTGGTTACACACAGCCAAATTGAGTAACAGGAAGAGGTCTTGGACACAAATTTGTTCCATGCTAAATGTAGAGGAATCAGCTGAGTATTCCTCAAATAAAATAAGTTGCCTCAGCTTATAAGGTAAATAAAATAAGCATTTCTCAAATAAGTAGCTGCCTCGCCTCACTGCCTTACTGCTACATAGCCTTCCCGGCATGGTGCCTTCTTTTAAATAAATAAATAAATAAATAAATAAATATGTTTATTCAGGTAAGGTATATACATACAAGTGATGTTACATTAATGGATTGATATATAGATAGAGCTAGTACATACAATGCCTAAAGCCACTATTACGCAATGCGTTTCGGGCAAGTTTTGATAATTACTTGTTCCACACTAAAATTGTATAACAGGAAGAGGTCTTGGACCCCTACTTCCCTCTCTCTTTTTTAATAATCTATATAGTCATAATTATAGCTTTAAGTATTCAATGAATAAAGTTTGTGACATTTTTACCCTTTTCCTTACCTAACATCATTTGTGCAGCATATTTTTATTTTATGTCTCACCCAGATTTAATTTCAAAATAAAACCAAACTAAATAAATTAGAAATGGGTATGTATAGCTAAGGTACACCCTTACTACTAGGTGAACAGGGGCATTTGGTGATAGTAAATGATCCCATCAGGCAGGGCTCATCACCTTCTCTCATATTTCATGTTCACCAGTGTTTATTTACTTAATAACTACTGGTATAATATCTTGCTATTATAAAACTAATTCTACTATCATCAAACACATATTTACTTCAAGTTTCAAGCAGAGAATGCATATATAACTAACACGAAGGACTCCTCTCCACTAGATTCACCAGCTATAATATTTTGGTCATGTTCCAATATCATAAATCGATCCCAGTGTTATGTAGTAGAGAAAAAATGACTTATATCCAGTTTACGTAAAGCTACGAGTGGTCGAAACCACACTTAAATCCCGGAATGAACTTACGAAGGTTTTTCCACTTAGGGTAGTTAATTGAATACGGAGGCCACGAAGGCGCTAAGACGGAAAACGCTCTTAGCTAAGAGGAAAAACCTTCGTAAGTACCTTCTTGAATCCGGCCCCTGAACCCTGCATGAGTGTCAACATGGCGCACGTGGGGCAAGGCGGCGGCCACAGGCACAAGAAGAAGAAAAAAGAAAATTTCCTTCGTCAAACGAAAAAGATGGCTAAACGAGGCCATTACGGCAAAGGAAGAAAGCTGTCTGAAGATGAATATACATATTATGTGCGAGTGTTCGAGCAAATGAAGCATGTGGAGGGAGAAGAGAGAGGTAGGCGACATGCTCAACTTCAGCACCCACATTCAACACATAACTAAGAAAGTCTCTAAGACAGTTGGTATACTCTCCAAAATCAGATATTATGTTCCTAACTCTGCTCTCCTCTCACTATATTATGCACTAATCTACCCCTATCTTAATTATGGTATCTGTGCATGGGGGTCTACCACTGCAAACCACCTTAAGCCCATCATCACAGCAAAAATCTGCTATCAGAATGATAACTAACTCTGCTTTCAGACAACATTCAGCTCCCTTGTTTAAATCCCTAAACTTGCTAAATATTAACTCCCTCCACACATTCTCTTGTGTCAACTACATTTACAAAACCCTGTTCTTAAATGCAAACCATGCTCTGAAACTCTCCCTGGACAGATGTAATAGGACCCATTATCACCACACCAGAAATAAATATCTCTTTGATATCCCCAGGGTCAAACTTAATCTCTGTAAACACTCTGCAAATTAAGGGACCTAGTCTATGGAACTCACTCCCTAGTGAATTGAAAAACTGTAAAACTTTTGCCTTATTTAAAAGCAAAACCAAAAAGTACCTAACTTCATCATCTTAGTTTCCTACACTGAGCTTTAAATTTGCTCTGTACCTAGTGTTACCCAATCTCCTAATTTTTATGTAATATCAAACAACCTTATCATTGTGTTCATTGCTGTCTTCTTTTATGTGCTAGCCATATGCTGTATTGTGACTACCAATTTTTGTCAACTACCATTCAAGCTGTCATTGCAACCAATCTTATATTGTTTCTGCTGTATTGTGCCTACCAATTTTTTTTTTTTTTTTGTCAACTACCATTCAAGCTGTCATTGCAATCAATCTTAGCTACCTATGTGGTTTAATATACTGTACCTACAATTTTCTCTCATCTTTTTTTCATTTCATGTAATCTGTTATCATTTTTTGTCTATAATTTTTGCAAGTATTTACCTCCTTAAAATTTTCTTAGATTAAGGACCTGCCCGAAACGCTGCGTGTGCTAGTGGCTTTACAAGACTGTAATTACCATATTTGTATCCTCACATTCCTTATGTACATTCTTGTATATGCATAAATAAATAAATAAATAAACATGGGTTTGCAAACACTTCGTATATTTGTCTGTTTCTTGTAAGAATACAATATAGGTTTTTGGGGGTTGGGGAGGTTTTGGTCAGACAACAACAGGTTTCACTGAAACCCGTTATCTAATTGGTAACGGGCATAACTTAAAAAAATTTAGTTAGGTTGCTTAGAGGTTTGATGAGATAAACACTTTATTCAATTCTAAACAAGAAGTAGATTCAGATTCTTTATTTATAAGTAAGTTAACATGAACATTGTCCAAGAAATTTAGCAAATTATATACTGTACAGCATTTAAGGAAGGTATAATATAAATGGCATAAGGTGATCATGTGATCATTGCTGTCTTATATGTGCTGTCAATCTGCTGTATGGTGTCTATTAATCTTGTTTAAATTACTAATCAAGCTGTCAATGTAATCAATCAGAGCTTTAATATAACAATGTGCTTTAATATACTTACTAAGCTCTCTCATCTCATTTTTCTCTTGCAATGTATCTTTATCATTTATCAATTCTGATAGAAATTACCTACTTAAAATTATCTGCTAGATTAAGGACCTGCCCGAAACGCTGCGCGTACTAGTGGCTTTACAAGAATGTAAATACTGTACTATCCAATGTATTCTCACAAACCCAATGTACCTTCTTGTATATATATATAATTAAATAAATAAATTAAATAAATAAAGGTTACCTTCGACACGCTGCCAGCTTCCTGTCCTTGTCGAAGCCACTAGTGTTAGAGGCCCTCAGGTAAAACAAGAATAGGAGAAAAAGAACATGTGTTATCTCTTAATATTAAATGAGAAATGGCAACATTTATGAATTGTTGAAAGATTTGAAAATAATTGAAGTTTGTATTTTGTTTATTAAAACTATACAGTATATTATTAGGTAAGGATGTACTAGCTTATGTTAACCTAACCAAGTCTAATGCAGTTTAAGTTGTATTGGGTCAGGTTGGGGTAGGATCTATGTTTTTCAAATCCATTGGAAAACCGTCTTGTGTACAATGTGACGCATTCATATCCAATAGAGGTATCCCAGTAAAGTATGGTCATTTCATACATAAGACGATTTGAGAAGGCTCATTTTCTGTTTGTTAAAACTGTATGTATAGTTAGGCTAGGATGTATTAGCTTAGGTTAGCTAGTATTGGACTCTGTTGGGTAAGGTTAGATTGGTTTGGGTTTAGTTATGTTAGGGTTGGGTTGTTAGGTTAGGTTAGGCAGATTTCAAAATCCATTGGAAAATTATCTTGCATTCAAAGTGACAGTACTGTACTTGTATCCATCCCAGTGCATAATGGTTTTTCATTAGTGGAAAAAGAGAGCCTGTTTGACATATCGAGGTAACTTGGCCAATAACTGATTTTTCCTTGGATGAACCCACAACAGTTGACTTCTCTCTCTCTGTCTATTTATTGCTAGCTGAACAGCAGAATCAGGTGAAAGGTAACATGCCCAAACATTTGTATTACCTCTGGGAACATTTATTTGTGACCTCATATCACAGTTGCATCACACCCTATACTCAGTATGTATATGTATGTATATACCAATAAGCAAAATATATCCAGATTTCTATTGTATGTACTATGTTGAACTCTGAGAACCCACCAGACCTTTATAATTAGTTACATTTCGTTTGGCTTAGGAATAGTACAGTACAGTAAATGTATTACCGATAGCTCAGCAGTGAGCATAGTTGGTTTACACCTGTACAGCAGGATGGAGATGTTTGGGTATATTTTTTTTTCACTTGATGCCTCTGTTTACCTAACAGTAAAAAGGTACCTTGAAGTTAGGCCCAGTATTAGTGGGATATTCTTTGTCTCTTTTTTTTTTTTCCCCCCTCTTTGCCCCTGATTCTGCTGCGGCTTCCTGTTCTATTTAAGCTGGAGACATTTGCTGGTACAATGATCCTTGTGGCTCATTGGTGGCTGGCTCAGGCATGGTTTCTTGGATTTCAGGCTCTGTGTCCAAACACATACTAGTTATATGTGTTATATCTGACTGTGTAGCAATGTATTTAATATATATTTCAGTTATTGTTTTAATATGAATTTTGTAAGTTGTGCTTTAAGTCTTATTAAATACTCTAATATTATTAAAATCTTCCAGAGATTTTAGTGCAAAACTTCTTTCATGAACTTGAGCGAGAAGGGCAGGTGAAGAGTCTGGCAGGCAACCAGATTGTGTCGCGAATCTTAGATGATGCATTACCCCTTGCAAATATCAAGCAAGTTCAAGCTTTGTCTCGGGTATTTGCTGAGGATCTCAGATCAACATGCATTGATCCCTATGCTTCACATGTTTTGCAGACTTTGCTGACACTTTCGTTAAAGAATGCACAGGTATTATAAATGAATTGTCATTGTTAAACTATTTTGATATTGTAATTATTTATAGAACTTTGATAAAAATACGAGTATAAGAATAACTGAAACTTCAGAAGGCCTACTGCCCCATGTGAGGTCGTTCCTATTTATGCCAAACCAGACTCATTCATATATTGGAGATGTCTAACCCACACTTGAAATAATACAGCAATTCCATCCCTATTATGTTTCTTTTGAATTTGTTCATTGAAACTACAATTGTATTCCCAAACCAGGGAGTTTTACAATGACATGCTTGTGTGTATCATATGACATATTTTCTACAATTATTTTCAAAATTTTATTAAATTTATAATATTTTTTAGTTGTTAAATTTGGTTGCTTCCTCAAGCAAAGGTAATATTTCTAATTTAATCAGAAAGGTGCAGTACAAAAACATTGTGAAGAAACTGATGGAGGAGAGGTCAAGGAAATTGTCGTAGCTATTACTGATGAAGAAAGAGAAGAATTCATTACATTCATGCATAAGGTTAGAATTTAATTTAACCCTTAGATGACTGTTTCATTATTTAATTTTTGTTAAATTAAAAATTTAGAGAAATCAGAATATGCTTATAAATTCCTATAATTACTAAAATTGATCTAATAAAATGATAAACCTTGTTATTATGCTGTACAATAAAATTAATTAATTAAAAGAATTTTTGAGCATATTGCTCTATAGTGCCCACAAATACAGGTATTTTTAAATATACTGTATTAAGTTTCAGACAATTTTTAGATATTTTCTTTGTTTACTCATATTTGTTTGACTTTTTCTGAATCCACCATGAAAGTTAAACATAAAACTAAGGGGTAACTTTTAATATTTTTAAATCATTTATAAAAAACTTATTAAATTATTAGTTTTTGCACCCTTTAAGGGTTAAGAAACAAAGACAATTACAGTAAAGTTAGATATGAAACATTTTTGTTCTGTTGTAGGATGATTATTAGATTGCAGAAAATGCAGCATTGTTATTTTCACATGGACTACCAGTTATATCTCACATCAAAAACTATTAATTAAAAGAATTTTGGAGAATCTGGGGGGGCTTCACAGCTGAGTGGACAGCACTCTGGGGATGTAATTACCTAAGTAATTACCAAAGGGTAGTTACAAGATGAAAGCTATGCTCGTGATGTCCCGTCTTCCCAGCACCCTTTGTCGTATAACTCTTTAAAATTACTGACAGTTTTGGCCTCCACCACTTTCTCACCTAACTTGTTCCAACTGCTTACCACTCTGTTTGCAAAAGTGAATTTTCTTATACAGTATTCCTTTGGCAGCTTTGTTTAGTTAGTTTAAATCTATGAGCTCTTGTTCTTAAAGTTTCAGGTCTCGGGAATTCTTCCCTTTTAATTTTATCGATTTCCGTTTCTATTTTGTACATAATGATCATATCACCTCTTTTTCTTCTATCTTCTAATTTTGGCATATTTAGTGCCTCTAACCTCTCCTCGTAGCTCTTGTCCTTCAGTTCTGGGAGCTATTTAGTTGTATGTCCTTGCACCTTTTCCAGTTTGTTGATGTGGTTCTTAAGACATGGGCACCATACAACTGCTATTGTATGTGTGCATATGTTAGAGAAATATATATAGTAGATATAGAGGAAAAATAGATTAGATTGGTTAGAAAGCTAGGGTCCAAGAGCTAATATCTTGATTCTGCAGACACAAATAGTAAATAGTTTCTCAAACTCATGATTTTCTGGATGAATGAGGATGAAATTTGACCATGTTATAAAATCACAAATAACCTGAAGATCAACCAAATAAACTGGAGATCATAAAAGCCTCCACCTGTCTGGAGAGTAATCAAAGCTTTTGCTATCTGCAGATCAGTGAAGCCTCAGTCTTCCTGGATTTATACTGACAATAACAAATTAAAACAGCAAAGAACTAAATAATGTTAATTACAGTACTGTATAATGAAAATAATGACAACCCATTATTAATTGTTAGAAATTTACTATTTGATGGCCAGAATTAGAGATAAAAGCTCAACTTAAGGCTTATTAAGTGCCTCTACTACTGCACATTATTAACTTTATTCACTGTGTCTTGGATCAATTAGTTAAAAATACCATATGTTGTTTACACAGTCTCCGTGGGGTAGTGGTTAAGATGCTCGCCTGGCGTTTTGTGAGCGCTTTGTCCCGGGTTCGTATCCTGGCCTGGGAGGATTTACTGGGTGCAAATCCTTAACTGTAGCCTGTTTAACTCAACAGTAAAATGAGTACTTGGTTGTTAAAAAGATTCTTCGCGGGGGTCGTATTCCAGGGAACATAGGATTAAAGACTTCCCTGAAACGTTATGCGTACTAGTGGCTGTACAAGAATGTAAGAACTCTTGTATGTGCTGTATTCTAAAAAAAAAAACATGGATAATGGGTTATTTGAAGAACAGACATGATAAATGACAATTCAATGATGAAATACTGTAAAATTCAATATACAGTACTGTACTTCACGGAGTGGGAGGTAGACAATTGAGAAAGGTGCTGAGGAATGTAAGATTCGTAGTAGCAGTAACAGTATGTGAATGAGTTTGGTTTGGCATAAATAGGAGCTATCTTACATGGGGGCAATAGACCTTCTGAAGTTTTTTATACAGTACTTATATTCTTAGCAATGCTCTTTAAATAATTACACTATCAAAATAGGTTAACAATGACAATTCATTTATACTACCTGTAAAAAAGTTTTTTTTTTTTAATTGCAAATTTTGTGCAGCAGTGCCATTTTGTGGAAAGAATGTACAAATGAATGAAGGCATTAGCCTAGGCAGAATGAACCCAATTAATACCCTAGCAGAAACTGCTTTCATCTCATTGTATGCAATGTGGTGATACTATTTGCTTGATACATCAGACATGAAGAAAGTAAAATAAATAGAACAATTTTACTTATTCGGTACTAAATTTTTGTGCTCTATTCTTGCAGGTCGGAAGATTTGTTTATAATAACTTGGAAGACTTCATACATGACACATACGCCAGTCACGTTGTACGCTCGGTTTTAGAAATATGTTCAGGAGTGGAAATTCAAGACTCTGTAAAAAGCAGCCACCGATCTCAATCTAATCATGCTTTAATTCAAGAGAGTGGAAAGTTCCTGGCAGTTCCTCCACAGTTAAAACAATTACTTCCTGATATTGCTGTAAGATTTACTCAGTTGCCTAACCTTCCAGGTAAGTTCTTATCTTTTTATCTGTACACTTTTATACAATGTGCAAATAATAATGTGGCTGTACAAAATAATCACAATCAATACAATAGAATGTGAAAATGCGACAACAGTATTGTACTGTATATGTTTTGAGCCATTCAAAACTGTTGCCAAATTAAACTCATCCTGTACTTTTTTGTATATCCTTGTTCTTATTTCACATCTTTATTCTTAGTTATAGTTCCTATAGTCTTATACAATTATTTACTCATTACATCACAATGTACTCATTATAGTGCATTGAACTCATTAAAGCTCTGTAATCATTACACCTTTACTCATTAACCGTACTCATTAGCAGTCTCCATGTCGCAGTGGTAAGACGCTCGCCTGGCGTTCCACGAGTGCTTTGTCCTGGGTTCGTATCCCGGCCGGGGAGGATTTACTGGGTGCAAATCCTTAACTGTAGCGTCTAACTCAACAGTAAAACGTGTACTTGGTTGTAAAAACGATTCTTCGCGGGGGTCATATTCCAGGGAACATAGGATTAAGGACTTGCCCGAAACGCTATGCGTATTAGTGGCTGTACAAAAATGTAAGAACTCTTATATATATAAATAATAAAAATAAAAAGTAACCCTTTACCTGCTGAAATAATTATATACAATACTGTGTCCTTTGGTGTAAACAAAAATTATTATATTTTATCTTTAAAAGTTATAGACAGTTATATATAAGAACATACAAAATATAAATTCTCATTGTTGGTCTTGTGTGCTTTCATTTAAATTTAAAACCCATTATTGCAGGCCACATGCATCTCAGAATGAGTGTATGCATGCTTTGACATTATTTACACAATTATTACAAAGGAATCATTGTATATTATAAATCAAATACACTATGCTGTTGTCAATAATATTAGAAATAACTACAGTATAATGTTTTATTTCTATTTAAAAATTACAACACTGGTTTATATATCGATGAAAGTTAAAAGTATTCTGGGCTAGCCTCTTTGGTAGTTTCCTTAGCTTATGTCATTGGCAGGGTTAGGACATTATGAATACACCAGGCTTCTGGTGATTGGCTTGGCACACCAGAGAATAGTACCGTTACCAGCTGCCTTGTGGTAGGCAGCTCATGAGATTCAATGATCAAACTGCTATTGAGGTGAATTGCTTACAGTAATATTGAGAGAATATTCAAAGCACTTGCCCTCGCTTCAAATAATGTTTAGAACCACTAAATCACCAAATTTATTAACACACTAGTTACCAATTAATCTAACGTCCTCAAGCACCACCAGGTGATTGCCTTATCTGCTAAGGGTTGAGGGAGAAAGCCATCTCTCTTTCTCTCTCTCTCTCTCTCTCTCTCTCTCTTGGTGTGGTAATATAAATGTAGGCTTGGTCTTCGTACTACAAGCAGTTGCTAAAATAGGAGTATTTATTATTCTACTGAATTCATTTGTAGAAGTATGAGAATATTGAGTTATGTGTATGATTGAATGATAAGGTATAAGTATGAATAATATATGTGGAACATGTGCCCAGAGAGGCATGAGATAATCTGCCGGGAGGATAGAAAACAGGTGTGTGTGTGTTTTACTCAAATTTCTAACATGAGTTTGTTAATCTCTTTCCTAACACTCATGTTTGTTTTGTTGATAATATGTTTTGTATATTGATCACTTGATGTTTACAAGAGTTAAAATGATGGGCAATGCAAAAGTTTCTCTGCCTTCCACAGAAATAATCTGCAGTGATTCAGGTTCAGCTGTGTTGCAATCGTTGCTGATAGTGCTGATTAAAGTTGATGAGAAACAGTGTGAAATCTTAGTGTCTCACATTATTAAACATGGCTTCCCTGGGGTCACTGCTTCATACAAGGACCAGTATGACGAAGGCATGAAAGTTGAAGTGCCCCCTATTTTCCAGGATAACCCAGCTACACGTTTGCTAGAGGTATGTTGGTCTTTTTCTGTTTTTCTGTGTTGGCTGCCTTAGTAACTGGAGCTTATGGGACAATATATTACAGCTCTTCTTCCCACTTCTTGTTTTCAGGCTCTTGAAATGTTTTTGGCCCACTGAGACAAAGGATTAACCGAGCACCCTTGATGGAAGTGTGAATATCACACAAATAATGCCATACCACAGCCACAGGACTGTGTGATGCAGCTCTAGTCTAACAAACCAAGCATCAGTGATCACGGGGCCTCCCTGAAAAGCATTTTTAGTCCAAAATGACAGAGCAGACTGAGTGTGGAGGGAATTAAAAGCTGGGTTGTTAGATGAGATGGATAGCTAGTGAGGTGCCACAGGAATTGGTGCTAACCTGAATAATATTGTCTATATCAGTGACCTTCCATAGAAAATGGTGTTACATGAATATGCTTGCAGATGCCAAAATGTTCAAGCAAATCAGTGATCTAAGAGATTCCAATAACCTTCAACATGAGCTGTTGACAGTCTGAGCCACTAGAGTTGACAATGATTGATGGAATTTAATATGAATTGTGTCATGCAATTGAGTATGAAGAGAGTAGGACATAGGCTCCATGTTACATAGTCTGTGATAAAATTGGACAGAGAAAGGGACATTGGAGTAAGCATTAAAAGCAATGTGTTACCTAGAGATCATATAAACGGCAAATTCATGAAACCTTTGCAATGCTAGCCAACCTCTGGAAAACATGGACAGGACAGTTAATTATTTAATACTTATATGGAGCTGAAATTAGAATACGAAGTTGTGGTGTGGTGGGTATATTTAAAAAACATATAGCTTAAGTGGAGAGAGAGTTGAAAGGTATGAAACAAAATGAATCCTGGATCATGCTTACTAAGAAGATTAGAGCATTTAAGTTGTTTATTAAGACAAGAATTAACAGGACTAATCTTAGCACAAATGATCTGACGTAGCTATCTGTCCCTCTGTTTGCCTTCTATCTCTTCTGTCCCTATCTCTGTGTTTAATTTGGTTCTTTTTTTTCATTATTTACTTTTTGAGGTGACCTTCCTTCCCTTCTCTGCTTAGTTTTACTTTCTTCTCATTGGAAGTTGCTTTATGCTTGGTATTCATGTCTTTATAAGTGTTTGCTTTTATACTCTTATATTTATACACTTATATTTATACTCTTATACTCTTGCCTTATTAGTGTTCTTTCCCCTTCATTCCTTAGTTTCCACTTGATAAGGTTGCAGGATAGACTTTAATATTAATGTATTTTCTTTTTTCATGTGTGGGTTTAGTTATGTTTTTCAGTCACTTCTTTGTGATTTATTCTCTGCAAATGTATGTACATACTGTTTGTAAAGTAATGTACATACTGTATATACAGCAGTGTACATATATTATACTGCCATTTTTATCTTTTATAAAGGGGCTTTTATCTAATACTGAATTACATTTTGTATACTCAGGTTGTGCTGCTGTTTTCCACGAGTGAGCAGCAGAGTACAAGTTTTCAAGAATACTTCAGTGGAAACATAAAGGCATTGGTTCAGCATCGTTCAGCAAATTTTGCTGTACAGAAGCTTCTGTCTGCATGGAAGGAAAAAGATACGGTATGAGTTTGGCATTTTATAGAATACAGGAAAGCATTATACAGTACAGTGTAAATCCAAAAGATTAGACTAATTAAGACAAGACTTGTTCAAAATTGTCAAGGTTTTTGCTGTTGCCAAATTTAATTAAATGTTTCTTACTGCAAATAATAGAATACATATTTGAGGATGTTTACTCACAAATAATATACAATACTGTATAACCAATATATTTTTAAATGTACTATATGTTAAAGATAAGAACAATAATTATGGTAATTTTTTAATATTTTTACTGAACTTCTGAAGAGCAGCCTTATCCTGGTAATCATATGTATGCAGAATTGCTTTTATGCACCCTTCTACCCTGTTAGATTAGTGTAGAAAGCATAAGAACTGCATTTAAAAATCTAAAATATTTGGCTTTAAAGTCCATATGCACTTTTTATGCATGGCCATTACTGGAGCATTCAATGCCATTTGAAACTCAGAGCTGTTGAAACACAAAAAATAAGTTTAAGTACAGTATAGAGATTTGCAACTAGACTGATAATGAGTCAAGGTGCAATAATGGGGAAGAGCCTATACTGTACTGGATAAGGACGTATTTGACAGATAAGAAACAAAGGATTACAGTCTGAGAAAATTTCATGCTAGAGGGATGTGGCATATATAGGGGTCTCACAAGACTCCATCCTCAGACTGGGCAAAAGCTCATTCATACCAGTTTCTGCAGATGAAATGGGAAGACCTAGATAAACTCCAGGAGTGGGCAGATGTCTGGTTGCTCGAGTTTATCTTCAAGTGTAAGGCAGTGAAAATGAAAAAAGACAATAAGAAACCAGAAGAAATATACATCATTTATAACAACATTGGCAGCATATGGGAAACTGACAAGCATAAGAATAAGGATTTTTTGAAGTAAAATTACACTGCTTTCATGAGACCAGTACTAGAATTTGCAGCTCTAGCAGAGAATCTGCATTATGTGAAGCATGATTTTTTGTTATAAAGTAAAGAGATTTGCAGCAAGAATGGAACCTGAACCGAGATGATTAAACTACGAGGGACATGTTGAAGAAACTTAATCTAACAATGCTAGAGGTGAGAAGTATTAGAGAGGATATGATCACTACATGCAAAACAATGTGGGGGATATACAAGGTGGACTATAACAGCCTCTTGAAATTGTTGAAAGCTGGAGACACAAATGAGTCAAATGTAAGACAGTACTATACTTGTATACTGTAAGGATGGTCAACAAGTGGAATGGACTGAAAGTAGTCTTTAAAGCCACTTCTGCACCCCCCACATCCATCCAAACACACCCGAGCATTCTCCCTCCATAGTGTGACTATATTGTAATTTATAGTATATGTACAGCAGGGATATTTTTGTTTTTAATACAATAGTTTGTATTTTGAGATGTGCCTAACATAGGGACTGCATAGTTCCCTTAATCAGTTATGCTCAAAACATATATAATAGTCATGACCACTACCATTATAAAAACATATCTAGCCATCATAATTTTTAACATTTAGATTTTTCAGTCATCATCATTATTATCACTGCCAGTATCAGCATTATGATTATATATAACTTCTGTTCATAATATATTCAGTATTTTCCATAAATCTGCCTCTGCTTTCAGTTTGAGGACTTGTACAATGAAGTATGTGAAGCCCTTGAAGCAGCCGTCAAGGCTGGTCATACAGGAGTGATTCATGCATTTGCACAAGCTTGTTGCAGACTCTCTAGTCACCAGTCAAACTGTGTTAAGGTATTGTGAGAAGATTTTTCACTGTATGATTTGTCTCCAGTGTGTTTAGCTTATTTGGATTCCTCACTCTTGTTATAAATAAGGAGAAAACAGCAATTTTCCTTAGGCAACAGCTGAGTATATATGAGAGCTAAGAGTGTAAAATATCTATTGAACACTGGACAACAAAGGTTTACAAATATTTACAAATGGGAACATATTATTAGATCCAATCTCGGCTGTTTATGGAAAGCTTATAAACTTGGAGAGTCGTGTATGTGAGAAATTGTAATTTATATTAAGTTTAAATGTTTTTTCTAACCACACTACTATATCTTCTGGTAAACTCTTCAACATGTTTACCATTGAATTAAAGTAGTATTAAGTATCTTCAGAGTAAATATGTTTTCCTGTAATTTTAAAATAATTGCTGTGTGTTATGTATGTGTGCAAAGTTAAAATATTTTTCAGTATAAGCATCGTTATGTCCTTCAGTGATTTTAAACACTTATATTATATCGCTTCATATTTTTTCTTCATTTGATATTATAAATTTCATTTTTTGTATGATATATTTCCAAGTCTTGATATTATTGTTGCTCTGAACTTGTTCCAATTGGTCAATATTTTTTCTCAAATATGGTTACCAAAACTACTCAAGAAGAGGACGAACCAATGAATTGTTCAGAGCTTGCATGACCTCTGATCCTGTATTTCCTCCAGGGTGTTTTTAATTCTTTTGTTTTGCTCTTGCTCCACTTGACCTTGATTTGCATTAAAAGGCTGTTGTAGCATGGTTTATTTCACTGTCTTTCTAGCTCGCTATTCTTTATTACTTCACCATGGCTGTTTGCATCTTCCCCCCTCCCATTGTTATCAGCAGAAATGAGAGCATGCAGGGACCCAGGAATCATGTTATGCTTGAGGCACCACATCTGTTAGTGGTATTAGGTGACCTGAGAAGTAGTAGGCAGTTAGGTAGAGATCTCATTTAATCCCAAGGGAGAATTTATATGATTTTGAGTTTGCAGTACATAAAATGTAGTTTATTGGTCATCCTGGGCTAGTTTGAGCTTGTCACTTGTGAATTCCTAGCATCTTTTATGTGCCTCTGCAGTTACTGTTTGTGTAAAGTTTCCTGTACTGATACAGAGAGAGAATGTCATCTGCCAGACTGTCACCATCCTTGTCAGGAGAAGACGGTGGAACTTTTTGTTTACCTTAGAGAGCCACTAAATAGCTCAATTTGTCACAAGCAACAAAATTTGTTTATTATTATAATAAAATATAATGGGTTTATGATGTTCATAAATATTGGATGGGAATGTGGATTACTTGTTTTAACTGGTTCTGGAGTAATTATGGTGTTGAAATTAAAGCTATGAGCATGTTTGGATAAGTGAGTGTATAATACTTTTATCTATACTGATGCTGTTGAATCATCAAATGTACAGCATACCCTGGATTCAACAAACTATATGGGACCAACCCTAATTCGTTGCAGTGAGGGATTCGTTGTAACCGGAGATGCCTCCATTAGGCCCATATTTGTGAACAAAACTGGGAAATCTCAAAATGAAAACTAACCATAGAATTTGATTTTAAATATGCTCAATGACTTTCCCAAGGCCCTAACTCTTTCTTGTAATGTTGCACCCATCTATGAAATGGAGCCATATTAATAGTTACCATTTATACCCTAATGTTTCCCATGCTCTGTGGGCTGATATCACTAAGGGAATCTTTAATTATATCCTATGATTTGATGGGCAACTTTCTCACCAGTCTGTGAACTTTTGTCTCAACATCCTAAGCAAATCCACACATCCCCACTTTAGCAAACAATTCAAAGAATCTGGTGAATAAATCTGGCTTGGAAAGTGTGCGTTCCAACTGGAGATTTGCCAAATCAAGGTTTGTTGAATCAAGGTTCCACTGTATTTATATGATTCTAAGAGTTTGATTAGCATTACCATACAATCCTAGGCTAATAATTTCCCTTTTCCTGTGAAACTAGTACAGTATATTGTTCTGCTCCGTAGAGTTTGATGCAGTTGCTTGGATGCTGGGAGCCAGAGAGACTACAGGTTCAGTTTGCTTCACTACTGCTGCGAATGTTGCCTTATGAAGAGTATCAAGCTAAACAGTCTGAGAGCAACCTGCCTCCAGTATCTCTACATGGTTCTCTTACTCTACAGGAACTGTTGAATTTTAATAAGCCTATCAAGGTAATAATACATGTATTGTAGTTGTTACTATTACCATTATTATAGCAATGCTTGATTATCCTATAAAATGTCTTTTGTATCTTGCTACACAAGTATCTGCAGATACTTGTGTAGTAAGATACAAGAGTATCTGCAAATACTTGTGTAGTAAGATACACGAGTATCTGCAGATACTTGTGTACGAGATGAGAACTTTTTTTTACATATGTTTGCTCCCAGTGTATCAGTGTATCATTACGTATACATGTATATTCACCTAGTTGCTTTTATGGCATATACAGTATATCCTGTATACAAGTACACTCTGTACAAGCACAATTCATCGACTGAGATCAGAAATGAAAGGGAAGGGTGGTCTGATTGCTTATTATTAGATTGTCAGAGAACATGATCAAACATATACCTAAATTTTGACTTGTACCAGTGTACAAATTGTCTGTGTATACTAAATATTCCTTGTCCAAATACCTTTCGATCATTATCTTCAACAGAATACCAGATTGGATTGTTTTGGAGGAATATTAGTTTCAATACTGTACAGTATTTGCATACCTAATACTATTCCTGTTTGAAAGTCACATAACACGATTTCACTTCAAATCTGTGACATTGTACTTGGTAAATAATGTTAAACCAGACTGTGGATCCTTTCTTCAATGCTTCTTTATCATATGTTTTTTCATATATGGCATTAAATTACAGTTCACAAACATTCACTTCAAGCCAACAATACCAGTGGGAGTGGGGAGACAATCCCTCAGTACCCTTTTTTTATCCTCCACTTCACAAATTTTTTATAATACAGTATCAATTTCCAAAAATTTTAATGTTTAAATTTCTGATATTTAAACGTTTAAAATATTCCATTGAATCAACATTGACAAATGCTTAAATGAATTTTTACTTCACAGTTGTCAGATAAACTAAACTCTGGTGTCACCCTGTTTTTTTGCATCTTCAGGCATAGCAGACTGTGTATAAAGCTGTTTCCTTCTGCCCAAACAAAGTCCTCCTGCATGTTTGTCATTCTCAAGGCATAAACTTGTCAAACTCATCCTGGTCACTTTTATCACCACTGAAATTGTTATATTTAGTTTATCATTCACTTGTTGCACATCTGAGCCCGGTCTATGACCAGGACTGCTGATGTATTTTGCATAGACCCGGTATCCTCTTGTCATTTCTTGGTAAAACCTTCTGTGGAGGTTGAAGGGCGAGCCTCTACCATAGTGACTTAGAGAAAGCGGGTGTATTATGCCATGATTTTTATGTGACACTATTAGTATTACATGAGCACCATTGGTATTCAAATACAGTAATAGCAGCAAGATGTAAATTGTCATTTGATGACCACAGGCACCTAGTGTATTTAACACATGACCATAGTAATAAATGGGGGTTTCTGGCCAAATTCTCTTGCATCCATATAGTTATTAAATTTTAAATGAAATCATTAAAATACAAACTATGAATTCATTCAGGTTACTAGAATCTAGATTGCTGATCTCTTACAGTAGTTAAGGAAAAAACAAATCTTTTCACAAATCATCACATGATGATAACCACCATTTTATAAGTAATCAACACATGATGATTGCAGCAGCCTGAGGGTTTAAAGAAATACAATAATAAGGTTGTTTGGCACTATTATTAAAAAGGAAAGAGCATGACCCTTCTTTTAGTGGTTGCCCACACATGTGGTGCCTTTTGATTCCTGTAATTTCTCAACCTCTGCAAGGCCTAAGTGATTTTTATTATCATTTCAGGTAGTAAACAGTTTTCTTGAGATGAGCATAGCAAACCTGCAAGTAATGGCATGTGACCCCCGAGGATCTCATGTTGTTGATGCCTTCATCTCTAGCTCTTTTGTTGGTACCAAGAATCGTGATAAATTTATTCATAAGTTTAAGGTAGGTGAACATGTCTCTAAATCATATCTTGTTTTAGTGGCAATCCTTGGTAAAGCCAACAGTTAATGGTAATTTTGAGTGACGAGCTGTAATTTTAATAGTAGCCAGGAAGACAGAGGCCACAAAGGTGATGGCAAAAATTTTAAGATATATTTCTTGTATAAAACCAACTACAAGTACTGTACTTAAGTGAACAAAATTATATCTTAATATTAAGAATAGTTACCACTGTCCAGGGCTAACTTGAGTTTTTTGTATTGTTTTTCAAGGGAACATACACATCACTTGCATGTTCCAAGCATGGATCACGTAGCTTGGAAGCATTATGGAAGGTGGTAAGCATCAAACTCAAGACACAGATATGTAATGAGCTCATTGTCGACGAGCTGAAGATAAAGGGCAATTCATTTGGTATTATAATTTATAACAAGTTCCAGGTAAGTTTCAGTTTCTTGTTTAGTTGTTATAAGCCCTTTAACCCCCCTGCACTGCACACCTGTTTTATGTGACAACTTTGTGGTGCAATTGTTTATAAATTATTAACTGAAAATAGGTCAGTTTCACAGGTCTACTCTTGTTCTGAAAGAGGCGAATATTATCTGTGCCTTTACATGCCCACTTGGAGACTGCCAGCCCTAATTATCTCAATATTTAGAAAAGTCAATAACTCTTTCAAGGTGTCTGATAGTGCACAAATAACAAGACTCTATCAAAGATCACTTTGTTTCTTCACACAACTAGGCCATCACCAGAGATATCCTGACCTACAACACTGTAATACTGTAATTGACAGGCAGTGTAATAGAAAATTAGACATGGCAGAGGCGCTACATATCAAACACTCGCCCAATTATCAACAGCCAGCATACCGTTAGATGCACCTTACCTTCCAAAAGAAAACCAAAAGAAAACTTTCTCATTATACCACAGCTACTGCCCCAACCGACATTGACTAACGAAACTCCTCACTTCAACTTTTCATATTTGTTGTATATAATGTACTCCTAGCTACTATGTATCCACTTTCCTTTGTCTCTGTAGATGTTGAAGAGAGCATCGGTGAAACATTTCAGGCCAGATAAAATTGTAAAATGAACTTTGGAGAGTTAATTTTTTAATTTGCTTATCAAGTGAAGAACATACAAAATATAGAGCAAATTCATGCTAGATCTAACACTCTTGGTCATGTACAGTAACACATGTCTACCCTTGCAGCTTGTGCTTCTGACCATTTATTACAGTTCTTGTAAGATATATTAACAGAATAATGTTAGTGATGATAATAAGAAGTAACAGGGTGCATTCTGTAGGAAGTGCACATAATTAGACACTTTGGCTATTTTCAGAGGTCATAAAATGTAATGGCAGGTAGCCATTTAGACAGTGTGCATAACAACATTTTCTATAATTGAAAGTTTACCTTATATATACTGTATTTTTTCTATGCTAGGTTGGTATGTTTAAACGAGGAGACAAATCTGATTGGCAGGAGCTTATTGACAAGGCAGAGAAGAAACGGAAAATGTTTGATGACTTGTTGGTAGAAGATAAGGAAGGTAAGCGTTTTTTATTTTTGTTGTGATAACCTGTGGGTCAGTGTGTCTGGGAGGGCCCCTTCAGTAGCTTCCTGAGCTAAGTGCTGGTCCAGCCAAGCATTAGGGAGATATACCAGGCTTCTAAGACAAGCCCATGCTTACTGGAAATCAGAACCAGAATCCGGCTCTTGATAAAGTGAGGGGACTCTTTGGAATTAGTCATCAGCCCAAAACCAAGAACAAACCCCACCAGAAAGCATAAGTACTAAAAAAAAAAAAAATGAAGATAATTTTATATTTTTAGGTAACAAGAAAACTAATCACCCTAACCATGATGTGCCTGACTACCTCCAGGTGGCAACCCAGGCCACTCTGGATCCCTGTCAGTTCACACCCTCGCTTGCTTGCTTGGTCACAGCTGCAGAGGGCACAGACCTCTGACAAGGCCCATCCTCTACCTCACACTTCAGCCAAGTGGTGTTACCTATTCCTGGATCATTTGTTCCATGAGGGCCATTGTTTTGTTATTGTTTCTCTTCACAGTTTTGTCACCCACATTGCATGTGCTCTACTTTATTTCTCTGTGACTGTTAACCAGGGTTTCCTTCCTTGGTAGTTACCTTGTGTTTCTCCTGCTAAACCACCGATACCTGCTTTGAAAGGTTACAGTTCCTCTTCTGTGTGCTGATTCCTCCTGAACCACAAGGCTTGTCGATGAGGAATATAGTATTTAGCAGTGCATTGTCTAATGAACTGCAATCACTCTGGTCCAGCTCCTTGTTTGTGTGTGGGGCTTTGAGCTTTTTCAGAAGATTTGCTTGAATCACATAAGTGATTGCTCTTGTCCATGATTACATAAATCTTAGTGTGTTGAGTATTTATGGGTGCATTTTCTATCCAAGACACATCCCTTGCTTCTGGCATTCACCTACTTGTCTGTGTGACTGTTTGGGTAGGTGGTTTCCCCTTCATCGTTGAATCTTTATTATGTTCTTAGGCTATATGGTAGCCTTTGTACTGGGAGCTTTATTCCTACCGTGTCTGTAGTCCTGCTATTTTCATGCACTAGTCTAAGCGAAGCCCAGCGAAGTTTCTCTGACGGAGGCTTCGCTGGGCTCTGACTTGTGCATTCTCAGGTTCAGTGCTGGATAAGCTATTGGCTGTGGCAGTTGAGCTGTTCCCTTTCAGGGTTTGATGGTGGTCTTAAAGCCCACATAGCTGGCAGCAGCTGTTTTTTGTTGTGCATCTCGGGAGGAAAAGGGTATGAGTATTCCTTTCTTGGTTCCCACTTCCTTTATCCTAGTTGGCAGACAATCTTTTGTTTTCCTTGGATAAGTTTCTGCCTTTTTTTCTATATTTAAGCAGGTGAATTAAAGGGAGTTGCCCCATGTGATTCATGTCTTTCATGAGGAATCTTCCTTTGTGCCTTGTTTTCTCCTGCCCTTTTCTGTAATGTTGGGGTATTGTAGCTCCACATCCAGGTGCTCAAATTGTCGTTGGTATTGATTACAGTGGACCACAAGGCTCGCAGCTGCTTGGTGGAAGATTTCTATTCCTGTGGGGTGCATGAAATCTTCTCTTAGCAGGTACTGGTTGATCTTGGTTCCTTGTCTGGGCATTTCTTGGCCTTGTTAATCTGTTGCTACAGCAACGGATGCAGTTTCCAGGCTGTTTGTGCTGCTCCTGAGGGACATAATGGACTTCTCTGACTTGTCAAGCCTATTGGCTTTGTGTTTCAATTCCTCTTCAGTAATCTGCATGATCACTTCCTTCTACTGTCCCCCTTTCTCTTCCTTCCCCTTTCTGGTGTGGGAAAGGTTTAGCGGGTTTTGACAGTGATAGTTGTTTCATATGCAATATGCAACCACATTTTCTATCATGTAATAGAGATTAATTTTTTAATCTCATAATTAAATAGCTAATTTATTTGTAATGGTATAAATGGAAAGAACAGGGTTTTTTCTTAATAGTAATGTATTAAAATACAGAAAAATTTTGTTTAGTCAAAAATCGACTTTCCAAACTTCCAACAAAACACAGTAACTAATAATACAGTATTCAGTACTTATCATGTTTTGTTTATTGAAAGTTTGTAACTATTTTCTCTCGCTAAATACAGTACTATAATACTATATGTCTTCATTCAAATTTCAGGTGAGCATAAAACAAAGAAAAATAAGAAGAAAAAGAAAAAGGAGAGGAAAGAAGAGACATCAGACATCTTGGACGAAGATATTTTTATTGACACTACCGGGTATATTTCAGATTAAGATATATCGATTCAAATTATTTGTAAATTTAATAAGAAAATAAATGAACATTTATTGATATTAAGTTTTATTTATAACAAGTTTTGATATAAAATATAATCCTAAATCATTTAAGAAATAATTTGTGTTGTTTGATATATGAAGTAGTTAATTTTTAATGAAAGTAAAGAAACCAAACACTAGTAGTGACAAGATAAAAAGTATGTTGAAACAAAGATTCATCTTGATGAAACAGATCCAGAACCAGGGAAGAGGAAAACTAAATAGTAAGAGTTGTTATTAATGTGTGAGGAGCCACATGGTTTTTATTATGCTATGGAGTAATGTAAGCACAAAGATACACAGAGAAAGTAGGTTCTCTCTGGTGCTACCATTTGTCCAGCTTTTCTTAATCCTTTTCCTGCAGGAAACACTTGCATTTGTCTGACATGCTTATGTTCCATTTTGCACACATTTATCTTAGTCCAGGTACCTACAGAAAAATTTTTCACACCCTATAACAAGCATCCAGATGCTCTAAAGGTGAATACAGAAGTTTGAAACTGATCCCTTCTACTATTTGTTGGCTGTAGAAGAAAACATGGTCGCTTGTGGTTGGTCAAAAATCAAGTAGTGTGTCCTTCAAACCCCTACACTCAAACCTACTTTTATGACTTTCTCAATATAATTAAGGTATGTTATGGTGTATTGTATATTGATGAATGAATGTTATGTACAGTGTGAGTATATATAGTTTAGCATATTAGTCAATATAAACTTGATAGTAGTCCTCTTAATTACATTGGTTGCAAACAACTTTGGAACAGCATCCAAAATTGTCTGCCAGTTAGGATCTTGTACCACAATTAAGAAGCAGATGACGACTTGTACACAAAGGAGTTCATAGCAAGAACTGAAGCAAGTTCACCAAAGCCACAGCCAAGGGAAGATTAGGCGATGGATACCTGTGGAAGATAGGTATATCCAGGTCACAGACTGACAACCAGCTTGTATTGACACAAAGGTGTTTTATCTCCGGTCATAGCATTATTCTACAATAAATCACTAGAACTACAGTACTAGCCTTCCCTGATATTGGTAAGGAAGTCAGAATATCCCAGTCTATAAAAGTGGAGATCACTCATGTTAACAATTATAGAACAAATACCTACCCACATTATCAAAAATGTTTCAGGCACTCCAGTATGTTCAAAAAGCATTACTTATGCCTAGTTAAACATTATATACTTAACTCTTGCAAATATTGCCTTTAGACCCATAAAAAGCAGCAATGATCTGGAGGAAGTGCTTAACCCTCATGATTATCATTAGTTTATATTTTGGAATTAAATTTTTAGTTTATTTGCTACTGCTGCATCATGGACCAAGTCTTAAATAAATTGGGTCTTGTAATACATTTGATTGGTACTCTGAGAAGTCCTCAGTATACAGTATAGGACACATTGTATATACAATGTACTGTACAGTATATACTCTGTATACATTGTGTTACCCATTAACTATAGTGTTCAACATTACACAATAGTTGGGAGAGCTACCGGAAATCTGGAAGATCAAATGTAGTTCCAATATTTAAGAAAAGAGAAAGACATGAAACCTATAGACCAGTGTCATTAACATGCATTCCATGCAAGATGGTTGAAAATGTAATTGGAAAAAGGATTGTGGAACATTCGGGAGAGAGTAAATTTTATTACAGAGTTGTGCTTCTCTGAAGCACGACTTCAGAGAAGGAAAATCAAGCTTAACTTTATTGATTTTTATAACAGGGTCACCAAAATTATATGAGAAGAAAGGATGAGTAGACTTCAACTTCTTAGACTGCCAAAAAAATTTTGATACAGTTCCACACAAAGACAAGTGGGGATAACAGGAAAGGGACTGGGTAAAAAGAGTACAGTACTTTGTGAACAGGAAACAAAAAGGTCATAGTCAGAGAAATTATGTTAGGCTGAAAAGGAGTGAAAAATATATAAATATAAAATGATTGTAAACATTTTTCGCATCGCTGAGCGGACTGTGAATGGCCCAGGGAGCCCAGAAAGTTTATGGTTAGAAACGCTTGGAGAGGCAAGACTGCACTCATAATAAGCTTGCCCTTTTGTACCTCCATTACATTTACTTTACATTTTTCAGAAAATTAATCCAATTACAACTAATTTAAACTGCAAGATATATTTTTCAAACTATCTCTAAAACCATAATTACATAATGTGGCTTTGAAACACACACAGCACAACCAATATAAGCAAAATGAAACACCAACGGGATACATTAATAAATGTCACACAGATTCAATCATTGTTGCAAGTCGAATACATCCTCGAATTCCTCCGAAGTTGGACTCGTGCCCAAGATGCAACAGGCATTTTCCCCTCTGAATCATGACACTGAGGTTCTGAGGCTGGAACAATAAGCTTTTTGCTCTCTGGTCTTTTGTAGTTCTGATAAATTTTTCACTTAATTCTTTCAGGAACATCAATGCACATTTTCCCTACGAACTGATCAGAACAAAGCTCTTAACAGTATGCCAGACCTCTATTTAATGGCTTTCTGCATTTACCTGAAAGAAACACCACCACCCACTTCACTTGTGCTGTGTTGAAGGTAGGTACTGGCCAGTGTGGAAGCACATGTATAGTCCCACGCCACTTGCTTAGCATCCCTCCAAGGAAGCAAGTGACCCTGTCTAGGCATTTCTGAGGGATAATTAGATAAAGATAGTATGGAAGGTATTTATGGAGCACAGTAAAATATTGAATATACATAATATATTTAAAAATACTTACATAACAGATCTCATTCCTCAGACTCAACACATTCTATAATGCAACAAATAAATAGTTGAGTAATGAACACACAATTTTTATTGATAATACTGTACTGATTTTGTTCAACATTAATTTTTCTATTGTAATGTTCATTCAAGTTATGAATTACATGCAGTATTGTATAATTCTGTATAAAATTGGTGTCTTCAATAAGTCAGAAGTGCATGAATAATATGAATAAAACAACAGTTTCTTACAATGTTTCAAGCTGCTTACCAGTTTCTCAAAATACGTCTTTAACTTGAGGTATACAATACAATATCTTTCTAAAAACCTTAATCCTAAACAGTAAGTTACCAATCCATTGATAAATGCCAGGCTATAGGGAAATTATTGGGCGATAAAAATTTAGAATACTGTACTGTAGTACATTACATTGGATATAAAAAGTAGGTAATTTGTGAAAGGTCTCAAAATTTCAGCTTTGCCTCCGGTAACAAGACTTACAGCAACTGTTTGGTCAGGTGTAAAAATGGACTGTTCAGCTCCTCCCTCATCCCTTCCCAAAAAGCTCTGTTGGAATAGCCCAAATGGCATGCTGCCACAAAAAAAAAAAACCTGCCCAATGCCATAAAAAGCAATCCTAGGCTTAATATATGCTATATTAGGCTTGATTTAGTACTCTACTATCCCAGGAAAATTAAGTTTGGTTTTTGGACACTTGATATTCTTACACTGGAAATTGTTAAACTTTTCACTTCTTGATTTTACAAAATTCACATGCTGTACTGCACTGTACTTGCTAGTCAAACACTAATGTGAAATTCTTTGGCAAATATTGCAGGCGTTTCTTTTGGAGTCTTTAATACATGAGGATACTGCATATAAAATGTCTGAGTAGGAGCATTAATTACCGAACAATAGATTCTAGAATATAGTAATCATTTACAAATAACTTACATGTAAAATTGTTCGACATTTCGAACGTGCTTTAAAAATGTGCATTTCTTAAAACTTATGCCTTGTTAAGTAGAGATAACAACTGTGCTTTAGATCACTCCTCAGTTTGCAGCATAAAAAATATTTTTGAAAACCTAAACTCACAACATAAAAGCATTGTTGAGTGTCCTAACAAGGCTGTTTTGTGCTGGTGCTAGTCATACTTTACTACAATGGCTCTTGCAATACCACAGTGATAATTCATCTTCAAATATTTAGCATAATTTTTGTTAACTACTGACTAGATAGGTTTCAAAAAGATAACCATGTCTCTTGAAAAATTACGGGTATTTATGATGTTCTAATCTATGTACAAACATCTCTCAAAATCCATATATATATCACCAATATTTGAATAATACTATTAGGATTGAACATAGATGAGGGTTTTATCACTTGGATTTTGACTTAATGTACAGTATCCGTGGCATACAGTTTGATGTCAATTGCATCAGTTCCTTCGTGAATTGAATTCCTTTAAAATTTTTGTGCCAACAAAAATATACAATACATAACTTGGGTACAAAACAGTTACTTTCTCCTTAGTTTTCTTGCATCAACTGAGACTCTATACATAAATAAAAAGAAAAGTATGTAAGAATGTAACAATCTTCCTTATTGGTGGATGTGTGAAACTTCGTGTTAAAATAACTTGTCTGAAACCTCAACTTGAGTGTTATCAATATTTGTAAGAGCACCTTACATGTATTCTTCTATACTGTACTTGATGGCAGCACTAAATTCCTATGTATACAAAAATTTAAATCTTACAATGTTTCTACAAACTATTAAAGTACTGTATACAAAATTTTACAAACATTAAATGTAATGAAAGGTATATCATAGTAAAAATATACATTTGACCTATGTCTGGAAGACTAAAATGCTCAGAGGAAAAATCAATGTATCCTCTATATTTAGACAATACTAACAGTAGGAAAAAGATTGCTTTCATTATAACAATTGTGGCTCAGTATTTATTTTTCATTTAATTACATTTAAAGATCCTTGTTCTAAGAAATTGTCTAATGATCATTCTAAATATAAATACTGTACAGTATCTTGTAATTATAATAAGATCAATACTTATAAATACTGAAAACCCACACTATGGAAGTGTAAAAATGAAAGCAAGTTCTTTTCTAATTATTACACCAGTTTTGTAGGGCGATATGTTACAGCTCATTTACACTAACAATTAGGTTCCATTCACTCTTATCTCGCTCATTCTTTAGAACCGAATGTTAGTTGCAGTCAGCTGTGCAGGTGTTACTTCCATTTGCAATCCTACTTGAATGAGTATCTTTTCTCATTCCATTGGCTTGTCCATTTGCAGCATCAGGTACTTTGCCATTTAAGCAATTATTTACATTTTCATGTTCATCGCCATTGGCAGTCGTCGAGATGCTTTTGGTCGAGATATTAGAGGCAGTCAGTGATGCAGGATGAATATACGTGAAGAACGGAGAGACATTCTTCTTGTAGTCACGGGGCATATCATAATTTGCTTTAAGTGCCCCCAAGTATGAGGCTCCCAGAGCACTTGTCACCTGTTTAGAAAACAAGATATAACAAAATTTATTATTTAGGAATTACATACAAATTCTGTAAATATATGAAAATGTCGGCTACATCTGGTAAGATTACACATCTCTAGGAAGTAGATACATAATCAGTATTGTTTATGATCTGATGTTATTTTATGATCATTGTTGTCATGTTTATGATCTGTGCCCTGATATTTAAGATAACTACTCTTTTGCTACACAATCATTATCCTCTTGCAAATCTTTCATGTCAGCTAAGACTCCTTTTCTGTACATCTTTTATTAACTTCCAGCACTTGAAGTACACACCAAGATTTGCAAAGCAATAATACAAATAACTACAGTATATTACTTTTAAAATATTCAAAGGATGATATTACCGGTTGCTTAGTGGGTACAGTAATTGTACCGCATTTCTGGAATACCTCTCTTAGCAACATGCAAGAAAAATTTTGCCATAATGGTGCCTGGAAGATGCTAGAGAATGCTCAATCTAGCCTGTGAAATTTTCAAGTTGGTTCATTCATGTATACTTGAAGCCCTTGCCAGCACTAACTGGCATCACAGGAATGCCAAGCAGTATTCTCAATAACTACTTGTTAGCCTGTCAGGCCATCAGCCCAGAATACCACCAGGTGCTTCACTAACTCAAATTTCCTCACATTTTACCTGGCTGGTTCTTATGTCAGTTATAGGCAGGCAGCAACCAGGATGAACTTGTTATTCCTTAGCTTTTTTTTCACTACAAAAGGCCTATTGGCCCATGTGAGGCACCAGCTATTTAGAGTTTGGTTGAGGTATAAAATTCTATCTACATCTCTAAGGGAATATTTGTTTTATATGTTTGAAGTTGGAGGCCAGATGCTCGAGTATGATCTTGCTAAGCTTTGCACAGTATTTGGTCTCTTTGGGGAGATGGTCCAACCCGTTCTCGCAAATTTAATAAGTCAATATTGACTTATCAGTTGCGTGCATAGGTGACATACTAAACATAGTAGTTTCCCTTGAAAATCTTCATAGAAAACACCGACCTTACCTAACCTACTTAGTATTTTAAAATAAGCATCTTATAGCTTCGTAATTACAATTGTTACTTAACCTATTATAGGTATAGGTTAGGTAATAATTGTAATTACGAAGCAATAAGATGCTTATCTTAACATACTAAGTAGGTTAGGTAAGGTCGGTGTTTTCTATGAAGCTTTTCAAGGGAAACTATTATGTTAAGTATGTCACCTATGCACATATTTAATAAGTCAATATTGACTTATTAAATTTGCGAGAACGGGTTGGATGGTCATAGGTAGGTCAGAGTCGACCTAAATGCTCCTACCTTTACATGAAATAGCAAGCAACATTGTTTTCCAATCTTCCTAAATGCCAGACTTAAGATTCATCAGTATATAATTTTCCGCATGATGATTAAATGCTAGTTTGTCATGTGTAGTTTATATATGAAGACAGTGAACTTTTAAGTACATTAAAGATGATTACAGTGGGAAAGGGAAAGTGGTGACGGTTAGGGAAGGTGGTGATGGAGAGGGGTGGTGGTGATGACAATGGATGTAGATGTGGTACCCTGATGGTGGAGATAGTTACAGCAATGAAGGCAATAAGTAGTGATGATTTGTTTCAGTGTTGAAGATGGTCATGTGTAGATTAGATGGTTACAGTTAAGAAGATGGATACATTGATCAGAGTTGTGGAGGGAAAATGGTTAGTGATGACACTAGTGTGTAGGCAAGATGATTACAGTGAAGATAGGTAGTGAAAATATCCTCCATCACCAAAGCAATACCGTATATAATTATTGAACTTAAAAAATTTTCATAAAATATATTTCAAGCCACTTTATTTTCTTATAAGCCACCTGATTGTTCATATTAATTTTGGAACCCCAAAGATCAATTGCATATTATCAAAATTTATGCAGTGACTTTTTAAGAAAGTTGAGCGTTACCTTCTTACCTTCTGGATGTGGCTGCTTCATTAATTTTATTTAATTATTTCTTAAGTATGAGAGACTGGCTTGATGATAGCCAAAGGTGCTCCCTTTTCCTTGACAACAAGAGTACTTTAGGCTGCAATATGTTGAAATTATTATATAGAAGAAAGCCCTGTTATAGTGTAATGTCTCCTGCAGCCATGCCATAAGCTCAGCTTAATGCTGTCTTTCTGAAAGAACATCATAATGGTGTTGCCTTTTAATATCACCAGAATAGTCTCACATACTTTCAAGCTGGTTATCAGTTTGCTTCCACATAGACACTGTTAGTTAATTGAATTAATATGTTCTGCCAAACAATGTTTAGTGTTGTTACTCATGCCTTAATTGATAAATGTTTAGTGTTGTCAGATATAACTGGATATAATAAGCATTAACTCTGCACTTGTCATTTTCACTATACAGTATGCTTTGCTACAATAATATTTTCGGTGTGTGATGTAAAAAATACATTTTGGTACAGTACTGATCTTATATGCTTAACAAATACTATTATGTGCATAAACCGATGCATTTTTATTAATTTCCGATTCAAGAGACTCTTGTTAAAAATTAAGCTGTCCAGTTTGTCATCATTATTATTATTATTATTATTATTATTATTATTATTAGAGAAAATCTGTAGGAGCCATGATGAGGGTTTGAACTTTTGCAGTGGGTGTTCCCACGCACACACCCTAGTCAACCTGGCCACGAACGACATGGTATAAGAATTGCAACCTGGAGTTCTACTGAACATACAAAGTTTTCCTGAGGCTTCTACTGAAGTTGGACCAGGATTTTCACACAATCCCCCCATGCACTCTGGTTCTGTCATGCAGAAATGTTCTACCTCCAACATTCCTCTTTCAATTCACAGAGTAATCACACTAATGTGACTGCATCAATGAGTAAATACGTAAGAGCCATGATGAGGGTTTGAACCTGTGCAGTGGGTGTGTGTTCATTAGAACTACAGGTTGCAATCCTTATACATGTCATGACCTAGTCGCTAGAGCATGTGAACACCCGCCGCATAGGTTCGAACTCTCATCACGGCTCTTACAGATTTTCTCACTGATGCAGTCACAGTGTGATTATTCTGAATTTTATATTATTATTTATTCCTAATGATTTGAATATTGTATTGCAGTTATGTTATTTAATACATCAGTGTGATGAATACAGTTCAAACATTCATCTTGGTATAGTTTAACAAAACGAGTAGAGAAAAGTTGATATTGTAAGATACTGTATTAAAATTACGTAGTATGAATATATTAGAGAAATGACTAGAAACTGTACAGTATAATGGATATAAATGGTATATAAACTTGAAAAGCTAAGTGATCATAATGATCACTGCTTTGTCAACATTTTTTTCTTTGAAGTTTTTCAAGATTCAATTCCATGCTGCAATTCCCCTCTCATGCTTGAGTTCTTCAATGATGCTTTGTCTCTAGCATTCACCATGCCAATCAAGGTCTGTATTCTCTCCTGCAGCGAGATCATATCAGTTTGCGAGCTAGCTGCATTTGGTCTGCACTGTGGGCAGTCTTTTTCCCAAGGGTTCCATGATCCTGCTGCACTGCTCTCTGCTGGTGTTTTGTCTCAACTGAGGCAGTTTCAGTCTGTTTTTCCATGTGGCTCTGGACTATGAGTAGTTTGGCTTCTAGATTTGGGGTTTAGCTTGTCTCTGTATGTTCCCTCATTTTCAGATCTTGAGGCATTGCTAGTGGAAGTTATTTGCCTGGACTGGGGTCGATAAGATTTAATTGATTTCTATCTAGTTTGCCAAGCCTTTTGGATCATTGTCAGAACACATCTTTTTGAGGCTCCACTTTTCCAAGCATATCAACTCAACTCATTGATGATTTGAGACTGCTGATCTTCACGTGTTGAATTTTTTGGCCCGATTTAACCACATGCATGACGGTTAGGTGACTAACCTCATAATGGAGTCGGTATGAGGTGGCTTAGTGGGCTTTTTATCTTTTTCTCTCCCTTTGCCATCTTCAATCTCTGTAATTGATGTTCTCAATAATGTTTTATTGTGGCTGCTCTTGGACTGCCACTTAATGCCTGCTATTATTGTTTCCTATCATACAGCCTTGGAAGAGCCTCTTGGTGGCATTTGGCCTGTCAGAGACTGGGCATTGGGGCATTGATCCTTGGATCCAACATGAGGTAAATGCATGGTAAACTTCCGGGGGTTGGAGTCACTTCTGCTTTTGACAAGGTGAACCATTGGGTGATGCAGCTACTCAATGTTAGCAATCCTTCTTGGTCATCTCTTGGGGACTGGAGCAGACTGGGGTGGTGTATGATGCCTTTATGGCCTCTTCCTCAAGTGACTAAAGGCCTCTCTAGAGGTTGCCTCATCTGGGCCTGGGGTGGAGACTGTCAAGGCTTGGATCCCTGTCATGACTGATTCTATCTTTTGACTGTTTAGGGAAGTGTCTCCTTTGTTGAGATACACTGTACCTCCCTCTCTCTCCCTTTTGGACATCTGTTGTAGGCCTGGGGGCAAGCTCTTGTGCCTTCTGTTCCACATGGAATGTTTTTTCCAACTTCATCATGACATGGATGTTTCACAATTCCATTTGGTTTCACCAGTTCACCTTCTTTCAAGGTTTCTGTTCTCTGATCTTCTTCTGGCTGTGGTGGGAGTGTACTTACTTTGACGTGAAGTCTCGGTCCAAAGCAGAAATCAGAGATGGATCCAGCCATGTTTAGATCTGGACCTGGACCTCCCTCCTGGTTGTATGACTTCTTGGCTTCCTCTTTGCTAGCAGACATTTCCTTATTTCATTAGGGTCCTGACATGCTTTATGCTATTCCAAAACACTCAAGTTGCATGAGATGGGGATATGCAGCTTTCCTTTTGAAGCACTTCATGCTTATCTTTTCACACTGGCCCTGTCCTTGAATGTGGGCATGTGGTAGTTTCTTGCAAGCCTGCCATGGACTTGAGTTGCACAGGTCACAGTGGGCCATGGGGCCTACTTTGGGTTTATCGTGCATGAAGATGTTAGTAGTGCTGTGCTGGGTACTCAAATCATAAGTGTTGCCTTAATAAAGGCACTTAAAAGTGTACCATTACCCCAAAACCCATCCCATATTCAGATTTTTACCCAATAATTAATAATGCTATATGCCAACTTCAGACAGCTAAATAGCTGACTACAATCAATAATAAATTGTGACACAAAGTGAGGTATCCCTCGTGGCCTTTCTTATACAACCATAATTACAGGGAACTTTAAAAACCTAGTGACTTATTAGTCACACAAGAATGCTTGATGGAAAAGGATGCTGCCCCTTATTGTCCAGTTTACACTTCCACTTGCAGCTATTGCAGATTGTAAAACTTTTAATGGAACGCCTTTATTGAGAATACTATAATAAGACTATTCACTTATCAACTCCCTTACAATGAATGTCGATAGCTAAAATTTTATGCAAATCAAATTCCTTCAAAATAAATAAACTGACTAACTGTGTCTGTATAAGCATCTTAAGTGACAACCAAATAGGATAAGCCCTTTTGATAATTAGTGTTCTACTACTTACACAGAAAAAGAATGGAGCAAGAAAATAGGCCACAAGTAAGGTAAACTAGAAAACTAGTGATACATAATTTAAGGGACAAGAACAATAGAGTAGGTGTGGTTCAGCAGTAAGAATGTAGCCTTTTAAAAACTATAAAAAAACCCACCTACCTTAACTTACTTCAAAAGAATGAAAATAACTGAATGAAGGCCAACTAGGCTATTTAAACAAATTACAAATGGAATAATGTGATTATACTGTAGATGTTTTAACGTTTCCATTTTACTCGAGCCAGAATTCATAGTGCACTTAGACTAGCAACGTATTATAAATATACAGTACTGTACACTGTTGGTTTTCTGACTATTTTTTAATTTACAAAATTGTCAATGGTACATTATATGTAGGTGTTAACCTAATTTATTATTTTAATACTGTACTGTTAGTGATATTGGCAATGTTATAGCACCTTTTAATGCAAATGCACAAAACACAGTATAATACAGTACTCACTCTTACACAATGTGCTTGATACATCCTCAATGATCATACTAGTTTATATAAAAAAAATAAGTATACTGTTTATTATATGTATATATTGTATACATATTATGCAATGTATGACAATATTTATATAATTTATACAGTATTTATAAACAGAGTATTGCCAGTACATATTAAACTTTGCAGTCACACATTGAGGTGTCACTCAGGGGAATTGACAGGGTGGACAAAGACAAACTCTTCAGCACGGGTGGGATACGAACAAGGGGACACAGGTGGAAACTGAGTACCCAGATGAGCCACAGAGACGTTAGAAAGAATTTTTTCAGTGTCAGTAGTTAATAAATGGAATGCACTAGGAAGTGATGTGGTGGAGGCTGACTCCATACACAGTTTCAAATGTAGATATGATAGAGCCCAGTAGGTCAGGAATCTGTACACCAGTTGATTGACAGTTGAGAGGCAGGACCAAAGAGCCAAAGCTCAACCCCTACAAGCACAATTAGGTGAGTACATTAATTATCTAATCCAACGCCATATTTTTGGGAGGGCTCTCTTCGGTGGCTCTGTGAGCTAGCTGCCTGGTTAGCTCCTGGCCCATTATGCCTCACCAGACCCTTGTGAGTTATATATATATATATATATATATATATATATATATATATATATATATATATATATATATACAGTATATAATTATATATTGATATATAATTACTTTTATGTTCAGAAACCACAAAACAGAAAAACAATGAAATTCCTTACAAAGAATTCAAGCGCAATTGTCATTAGGCGGGAGGCACTGGTAAACTGAAGAGTGCCTCACCCTTGCCCAACCCATTCTCGCACTTTCGTATAGTCAATATTGACTTATTAAATACGTGCTTATGTGACATACTAATTTATTGTGAATATTTTAGTTTACCTTGAAAAGCTTCATAGAAAACCCCAACCTTACCTAACCTCCTTAGTATGTTAATATAAGCATCTTATTGCTTGGTAATTACAATTATTACTTAACCTATTATAGGTATAGGTTAAGTAATAATTGTAATTACGAAGCAATAAGTTGCTTATCTTAACATACTAAGAAGGTTAGGTAAGGTCGGTGTTTTCTATGAAGCTTTTTAAGGTAAACTAAAATATTCACAATAAATATGTATGTCACATATGCACTTATTAAATAAGTCGATATTGACTGTAAGAAAGTGTGAGAACGGGTTGCCTTGCCACCAGGAACCATGCGCTCTGTCAACCCATACGAGTATCAACAAATTCTCCAAGTGGGGCAAAGTTTGTAAACCGCATCAAATTTTTCAAAGAAATTGGGCTCGTATACCAAAAAATTTGTAAAGTGGGGCATTCATAAACCGAGGTTCCACTGTATACCAAATATAATGTGCTTAGTTTTTTATCTGAAATAATCAAGTTGCTGAATAGCAATCTGAGCACTCAAGTTTATCAAATTTTTTACCGAGACACTAGCCTTATTAAATATCTAACTTGGCAGTATATTTTACCAAGATATTGTACTAGGCCACTATTATTGAGAAACTCATGAAAGGTAATATAATAATGGACAATGTAATCAAAAGATGATCATTGAGAATATACATTTATGCCATTCTTTTAGAAGAAGAACAGCTTCAAAACAACACTCACTGCACCGACCGCAAGTCTTAGAAGTTTAAACTTGGGGATGATCCGATCCTTTTTCAATTGTGGCTTGGCTCCATCCACAAAACCTTCACGCAAGTATTCCCAAGATTTCCAAACGGATCCTGAACAGACAATTTGAAGTCCATCTTCTGAAGCCAGCAGATCCTGGGGGTTAGACAGTTATTTTAAACTTAATATTTTTGGATGCAATATGTCTCTTACTTAAAACTTAATTAATGATTCTTTATATTATCATTAATGAAATTTATAATTTTATTTGGTAATAATTGCCAGAGAAATCTCAAATCTTAGTAATCACAGGGATTTTTAAGCAGAATCCCATTCTCAAATTTCTTTAGTGAAAAATCCTAATTAATGTGAGCTGTTGTCTAAAGATGGTTATAATACAGTAGATCTACAGTACAGTATATGGATATAACGAAGTTAACCTAAACCCATGATCAATTTCTGTTATTGTTTTTTATTGCTTTCTATGTGATGAAGTTATTGTGCACTAGTGCCCTGAAGTTATCAGCAAATTACAATTTGGTGTTTCCCACCTGTTCTGAATCTCTTTCTGGATGACATTACCAGACAGAATAACAAAGGAATGAACTGCAAGACACTTCTTTGGTCAGTGTCCCCAAAACAGATTTACTGTATGTACAATATACGTGTATGTATTACACTGTACAGTATTTAATGCTTTTTTACATTTATTTGTACATAAATTATGTTATTAAATGCATTGTATAAACCAAAGTGAAGCAACAAGCATAAAAATCATCTAAATCTACCATCTTCTCTTTAACCACTATGTCAACAACTACACAACTCATGTTTTGGCAGTACTGCATATCATTATTCTTAATCTTAATTATTCTTGTTTAGCAGCATTGTAATGAAGTAAATTTGAAATGCACCAAAGAAGTGCTTACAGCAGTTATTAGATTTTTATAAATGTAGCAGAGATGGTGATTTTCATTGTGCATTACACAAAGTGTGTGCTGATACTTGCTTCTTGACATTTGGAGTCAACAAGTAAAAAAAAGTTAAGAATATAATTTATATCTTATTTATAATCTTTAATGTTTACCAATAACTTGGTTAATTCATGGTTCATATATGATTTACACCAATCACAGTTAACAATCTATAATATGCCTCTAGCCCTTAATTTACCTTCCATATTTAGCTATAATGCTGTGCAAATATATTTTATTTGTTTCAGAATCAAATTTACTCACCGGGTGCATATTCCTTGAGAGCGCAGAAATGTGACGACCCAAAGCAAATCCACCATCGTAGAGAATGCGAGCACACATAGCATCCCCATTAGCTGCTTCCTCACTGATCTTGGCAGTTAAGCTTGCAAATTTGGCCTTTTGAAATGTTGAATAAATATGCTCTAGCATCCCAAACCTGCAATGAGTGGTTTAAACTACAATACAGTATTCATTTATTAAAATTTTCACTCTAAAGGGTTGGTTATGTCTGATAATTTAGAAAATTAAGTCTCGCACTTTGTACTAAAATTATTACTATTGTGGAATTTCCTATTTGTGATTACTGCTCAGATTCTTGAAGGCAGTACAGTATTGTATTTACAGGTGCAGCACACTGTGTGCTACAAGAGATCGGTTTGGAGTGATAGGTGTACTCTCCTAGCTGTGACTGCAGAGTAGAGTTCAGCTCTTGCACTATGCCTTTTCTACATTTTTCCTTCCTGTATTCCACACTGAACCTCAGTCTTCATGTTTCTTTTCATATCTACTCTTGAAACTCACTCACTCACTCTCCCCCTCCTCCTTCCTCTCCCCCCCCCTCTCTCTCTCTCTCTCTCTCATAATGCAAAACTATTTTCTTACACCTATGGCTTTGGGTTTCTATCCTCCACCCATGGCTTCCTGCTCTGTTGTTGCTCATCCTTAAACTATCAACCTTGTTTATTTTAACAATTCCCTTGAACATGACACCTTGTTTGACTCAATCATACCACTACTCTCTCCATTCTGTTTTCTAGTGATGCAGTCAAACTTCCCCAGCCTTTCTCCATATCTAAGCCCTTCAATTCAGTTTTCTATCTTATAGTAAATCTCTGTAGGCTTACTTTTCTGGTATTTTTATGCACAGTCTCCATGCAGAGCTGAACACATTAACAGAGGTCTCATAAGTACTATAGTGTAAAATGCTTTGAAAGAAATATGTACTGATGTTTTCTAATTTTGCAAATGCCACTGACATTATCTTACGATATTGAGGCCTTACAAATAGATCTACATGAGCTCTATAAATGGTTGGAAGATTGCCAAATACTTCTTAATACCGAAAAATATAAGACCTTGAAATACTATACAATAACGTATTAGCAAATTAACACTGACAGTATATTTCTACCTTAGTATTTCAAATTTCTTTGATTCTTTTCAAATAATTTAATGTTTCTTTTTACTCCTTTTCTGTTTACTTACCTATCCTTCAATTCAAAGTGGGTGAAGACAATGTTACGCAGCTTGGCAGTACAAAATGGTGGATCAATCAAATTATCTTCTTCGTCGAACAGAATCTTAACAGCTCGGGCAGCAATCCAGTAAGCTGGTGATTAAATTTAAGTTAAGGATCATGGCAAATTGCTTTGTGATTTAATTGCATATAAAATAAATATTTATTGTTCAGTACTGTATAGAAAAAAAGGGGTACGATACTAGCAATATGTCCTTACCTCCTCCTTCATCACCAAGCATGTGCCCCCAACCCCCACAACGGAAGGTTTGGCCATCTGGATTGAGGAGCAGAGCATTGCTTCCAGTTCCACTGATCAACACAATCCCACCTTGAATGCAAAGGGATAAAAATTCTTTAAGTGGAAGTTATAACACACAATAGGATAGCAAAAATATTCACATACAGTACTGTATTGTATAACTGTAGCCCCGTCAATCTGTGTGAGTGTTACGTTCCTGGAGATCCAGTTTCCAAGTGATCTTAACTTCATATAGGAAAGCTTATATTAGACAAGACACCTCAATAAATAACACTTTCAACACTTAGCATTCCAGTGATGCTAAAATACGTCATCTGTACTTCAAAAGAAATGTTCCGATAACGCCTAAATGTGTCGTTCATCTCAAAATTCTTCAAAATCACTACAGTATTGGTATTTAATTTGACATTTATTTTATTTTTTTAGTGCAGATTGGGATTAGCTGATCAGGAGGGGTACTTATACTCTGTATAAGAAGGAGGTACTTATAATCTGTACAAGTATCAGGCCCCCCTGATACTTACCACCAAAGTATCAGGGGGACCATCTAGAGATTATCTTGACCAACTACCCATCACTCAAGATGAAACTGGTATTTCCTCTGAATTTTCTGTTTTGCAAATCACCTGCCAGAAAATTGTGAAAGTTATGTATGATTTTATCTTCACAGTAATATAGAGTGATTATGTATTCACACTCGTACATTTTATTTCTACAGTATCTTGAAAAATAAATGTGGTATGTTGAAAAATATAAGAGGAATAACATTTTCAAAATCATTTGCAACATAGACAGACACTATTATTATTATTATAAAAATAATTAATTGTGTTAGGGACAGGCAGCCAGTGTATATATACATGATAGGCTTTTATTGAGGTCCCTCCCCACCCCCAGGTCAAATTATTGACCTGCCCCCCCCCCCCAACCAGGATGCAACTTCACAATATGCTGACTAATTCCTGGGTACCTACTTACTGCTAGGTAAACCAGGGGCATTTGGTGACAGGAAATGTGCCCAACCATTTCTGTCCTGCCTGGGATTCGAACCCGGTATTCTCAATTGTGAGTTGAGAACGAACTCAACTACTACTGGGACCCTAATTCGGTTTGCACTCTTTAATGTTTCTTAAACTGGGCTAATGATATACTTATGGGATCTGTTCTTTTCTGTGAATTTCTGATTCACTGTGTGCAGAGGTTGTCTTTGCATCAGAAAATATATGAGGAGGCCTTGAACACCTACTAGTGGTTAAAATGAGTGGCTGTCCCTGTGATGCTTGGAAGGGTTCCTAGGAATTATGAATTAATCTTTTAAGTCATTCCAGATTATCTTGTGCTTCCCTTACACCAGTATGATCCACCAAGAATGTTTGGAAGGATCATAGTTCTTAGATTAGGTCAGGGTTATCTTTGGCCAGGACTCCTTTTGGGTAATGTTTCAGAAATGATTGGCAGTTCACATACATCGAAATACTATGCATATTAGTGGCTTTGTGAGAATGTAAGAATGCCAATGTTATGTACTATCAACCTAATGTATATTCTTGTATATAAATAAATACAAAATAACTAACGAGGTATTTCATACCATTATGGCAGGCTGTAGCAATCGATCCCTGTGTGTCTGAGGCCACAACAACATGCTTTGTCAAATTAGGAAACTGTTCCAGAATATCCACTTCCATTCGTCGGTTGGCATCATCCTCCTCACACCCACTCAGGCACAGACCCTGGAAATGAGAACAAATTGAGATATTAGGGACATGTGTAAGTAATAGTGTAGTATGAATGATAAAATTCTGGCATTCATATTAAGAAACTTAACAACCAACATGAGACCACATAGCATATTCAATTTTCTATAACATGTGGTCAATGACAAATAACTGGTTGTATCACTAACATATGCCCAAATTTATGCAAGAACGTGCAAACACGAGAGTAATATAGTATGAAGGGGTAAAGAGAGAGTGATGTGAGAGTCTGCACTTGCCTAAATGTGGCTGTTATTATTATTGGGTTAGAAGCAATTACACCACTGGGTCATATGTACCCGATAAGAAGAAAATAAAAAAGTTGATTAATTGACAGTCGAGAGGCGGGCCGAAAGAGCCAGAGCTCATCCCCCGCAAGCACAACTAGTATAGGCGAGTACACACAATCCCCAGAATGCATCCCGTAGCAGCTGTAATAGTTTATTACTCACCCCATATATTATATAGGTGTAATGGCTTGGGGCTTTACTCTGATAGTTCCCTTCACCCCATACATATACTTGAGTGGTAGTTTACTGTGCACCTCTTGGTCTCTGTATGAAGAGGTCAACGCCCCCTGGGCTTACGTCCAAATAAGTGAGCATGTGTCAAGTGTCTGTGTTAAATATATTACATTAATGAATGTGTCAAGCCTCACCCATTGATCCTCTTGGTAATAATGTTTTGATGTATTTTTATTGTGTATACTACTTCTGTCGGACACTGTTGCTGCCATTGTTGGTGTTGGTCAAAAATAGCGGAAATAGTCATGTCGGTATTAATGGTACAGTACTGACAAAGATTATAATTTAAGTTTCGTTAATTATTTACTTTTATTGTAGAAGTCAGCAATGGGATTAGTTGCGAGACTGAATAACTTAAGTGAGCTCTAGAGACATTATGCTTAGGCTTGTCCGTGGCATCGTCTCGCTTTTGTAATTGAGTGCGTGCCAAAGATGCACCCCATCAGGCTTGGGCAATTATGTAGCCCGTCCTTCTAAGGTTTACCAACGTCCAGAAACTGTTGTACTAAGTGTCCTAACCTACCAGAGAACCCAAAACAAAAGTGGACATTATGTCATTTACACAAGCTGCTGCCATTTTTCTAGTACGACGATTTTTGACCTTAGAGTATACGTCAAAATGCAACGTTCTATTAGGAGGACGGGTTGGTTCATGTACTGTATATGAGAAATAGGTTTACATGTGCCACAAGAGAAGAGCAGATGTCAGCATTGTGGGGGAATGGCCGACAAACCACGGGAACATTATCGAACTAACACAGTGCAGAGATACAATCTAAACCAGGTTATCACAGTGGTTTATTTACCAACACAGGTGTAGAGCAAATTAGACATCACCTTGCTGAACCCAACATACAAGCCAAACACTCGGACCCACAGCCTAAGTCATACTGATATGAGTACCACACCTGGCCGCCCAATGGATTACAGTATTAGGTCCACGCAGAAATGCATCTCAAAGGAAACAAAAATCCCTTTCAGAGACATGATGCTTGAGCGTGTCCCGGCCTTGCTCTTATAACTGAATTCTGTTAAGTCAGCAGTTTTAGACAGTTCATGTGCGTGTCGGTGTACACCCAAGTGAGGCTGCAGTGTTAACTGTTTCATAAGGGCCATTCTCCGCCACACTACATACGCTCTTTATCAATCACTGATTACAACGCCATCAAATACGCCTTAATTGACAGCAGGTACGGTAATTAAAAATTAAGATAAGAATTCAAGTTCACGGTCAAAGCCTTGATTACGTTTTTATTGTCTCCCCTGTGTGGCAGGTGTTTTACTTCCCGTCTCCTATGGCCGTTGTGGATATAGATGGAAACAAAGTAGACAGAAACTAGATTTTTAAAAAATATGAATAAAAACAAGTTGACAAGGGTTAAATAAGTGAGTCTCTCTCTGTACACAGCTAGAGACTCAAGTAAGCTGCTTGGATGCAAGGAGGAACATGTCCACTGTGACAGTAGTCAGCAAGTGGAATGACTTTCAGAAGATTTTATGGCAATAATTCCACTCTGTTTCCAGCGGAGACATGATAATAAGCGAGAATCCGGCGCCATTGCAATAGGTAGCCAGCGTGAAAAATATTCTCTTTATTCCATGTACAGTATTACTAACCATCCAGTGAGACGAGACTATTAGATGAATTTAGAGCTACCTCTTTACCTATACTTTGTAATCCCTTATATAGAGTAGGGTAGCAGCACACTGCTGTATATATCCAAGCGTGTTAATAAAAGAATAAATAAGTGAAAACATGCTCATAGGTGAGTAGAGAATCGGTGAAGGTTGCCCAGACTGATGACCTACCAGTGTGTGACCGCCCCCCTCCCTCTTTCCCGCCACTAACACCTTACCAGGGAACATAGGGATGGACGGGCACCAAGCCCCTGGCGTAGTGCCCACCATATCAGGTGAGCTTACAACACTTCCTCCGCACTCCACTATTTCTGGCTAAATGTTCTGTACCAATTGTTTTTCTTTGAAGTTTATTCCTTGTCTCAAATATTGATTTTCTAATCTTATGAATTTACGTTATACGTACTTTAATAGACTTTCATTTGTAATGTTTATTAGAATGATACTACTAATAATAATAATACACAAGGAAATCACAATGACATGATCTATATTCGAAAATCACATGGACCAGCGATCAACACCAGCCGCGCGCCATACCTAAAGGCCATAACGTGCTAAAAGCTATTCAACCTTACATGCATATTAAAGTGACGGTTCATTTTAAAAGTCTCTTAATTACAATGTTTCAGACAAATATTTTCATGTTGTCATGTTGTCATATTGTCAATTACTGCTGGCCACATTCTGTAGCTGACAACATTGATCATTAATAGTGTTCATATATTACATTGAGCAGAATTATAAAACTAAAATTCAATATATATATATATATATATATATATATATATATATATATATATATATATATATATAACGTATAAATCTGCATTACGACTGCATCATGAGTAATTGGTTTTATCTGTAAGTCTGCAGTGTATTATATAATATTTAGTGACCTGTCGGGTCATAGGGATTTTCTCCACAATGTTGAGACACTTTCTTCGGGACTGTAAATCAGTTAGTTTACCATGCATGGATGCCCAATGCCTGCTGCGATATATGTATACCTCTGTTCTTGTCCTGCTGCTTGGCTTAGGTTGCCACTCACGCCTATACGCCACACTAGACCTCTCCAGGTGACACAGTGTAGTGGGGAGGACACTACACAGTGTGGCCGTGACAAACATCAGGCAGCGACCATCATGCTGGTGGACAAGGGACTGTTCAGCCCTACTCCCCTTCACCGCCAGCCAGTGGGTAAAGGTTGCCTTAAGTGCACTGATCCACAATACAGGGGCAGGGGGGGGGGGTCATGGAGGTCAGCATGCAGAACAGGGTTGGCTCGAACAGACAGGAAAATGTAACTGCAATTTTTTGTTCAGTGTAATAAGTTGTCGGGTTGTGCAACCCATCTTCCTAAATTTATAGTATTTATTATAACTGGTAGAATGTTCACGTTTTATTATTAATTTGTAGAGGCCACGACAAAATGCAGAAGCCAAATTTGAACATTGCTAGGCCTTTTATAGCACTATAAGGCCTAAGATAGCGTATATTAGACCTAAGAATATATTAGCCACAGAATTGCTTATTTATACCTTCGACAAGTTACGTTAAGTTCTATAGTTTTCCAATTTTTAAGTCTGTATTACTGAATTAACTCAAATGGCAATATGAAATTTTGGGGTCCAGTAGACCTTTTGTGAACGTTTGACCAAATAGTTGCTATAAATACTATCATTACTGGAGGTTGGACTGGTTTGTATGCACCTAGGTGTGCTTGCGAGAGGTGAGCTCTGCTCTTTTGGCCCGCCTCTCAACTGTCAATCAACTATCTCTTCCCCCCCCCCCCACACACACACACACAGGAAGTAGCCCGTATCAGCCGTCTAGTACCTATTTACTGTTAGGTTCCATGTGGCACTGTGGGAGCTGGGACGATGTAACTAGAGAATATTAATATGATAGAAGTTGAAGCAGGTGTGGGGGCCCAGAAGGCAGGTAGCCTGGTTGTTATACGGGTTAGTTAAAATTAAACACCTCCAGCAGGGAAACCCGGGTGCAGCCCACAGTGAGAAGACGGAACACCATTATACAATACTGTTATATCATGAGGGACATATTTTTTGTTTAGGTTTGTGATGATATCGAGTGCTTCAGTGTGTGATCTGCCTCGTGAAAGCTGTTCACGGCTCTGTGCATAGTTTAGTTTAGTTCATTTATTATGCACCCCATACCCATATTGTGGGTGGTAGTGGAAAGGGTTACAGAGGCACATAATGGGCTCAGGGACTGGACCCCACAATTCATTTAGCTAAGCAAGTTACAATCTTGATGAGCTAGTTACAAAATTCAGTATAAGTCGTCACATCAACATAGGCAAGACGTGATGCATTTATGCAGCCACAAGTGATAGTAATTATCAGTGTGCGTCAACTCGGCCAAGCGACACTACGTGGGTAGGCAACCACAAATCACTCCAACTATATTAAGAAAGATTTGACATCATTGGCCAAACATGGCCAAACAAACTGACCATTGGGGAGCCGGTCGGCCGAGCGGACAGCACACTGCTCTTGTGATCTTGTGGTCCTGGGTTCGATCCCAGGCGCCGGCGAGAAACAATGGGCAGAGTTTCTTTCACCCTATGCCCCTGTTACCTAGCAGTAAAATAGGTACCTAGGTGTTAGTCAGCTGTCACGGGCTGCTTCCTGGGGGTGGAGGCCTGGTCGAGGACCGGGCCGCGGGGACACTAAAGCCCCGAAATCATCTCAAGATAAACATTAACACACTTGGCTGAGGATGGGCATAACGGGGGGAAGAGCTAGCACAAGCCAATGGCCTTTTGATGCAAATTTTATCTAATACGGT